GAGTAGTACGTTGAAAAGTAGGACCTGCATTCTTTAACCCGAAAGGCATTGTCGTATAACAATAAGTTCCTATGGGGGTAATGAATGCAGTTTTTTCCTCATCCTCCCTAGCCATGCGAATCTGATGATAACCAGAGTATGCATCTAGAAAACACAAAAGGTCGCACCCCGCGGTGGAGTCGACAATCTAATCTATGCGTGGCAGGGGGTAAGGGTCCTTAGGACATGCCTTGTTAAGGTCGGTGTAGTCGATGCACATCCGAAGCTTGCCATTCGCCTTGGGAACGACGACCGGGTTCGCTAGCCACTCCGGATGGATGACCTCACGGATGAATCCGGCCTCCAGAAGTCGCGCCACCTCCTCGCGGATGAAGGCTTGACGTTCCGGGGCCTGCCGCCGCACTTTCTGCCGGACCGTCCTTGCGCCCGGCCGCACGGCGAGACGGTGCTCAATCACCTCCCTGGGGACCCCGGGCATGTCCGCCGGTCTCTAGGCGAAGACGTCGGCGTTTGCCCGCAGGAAGGAGACGAGCGCGTCTTCCTATTTGTCGTCCAGAAGACCACCGATTCGTGTGGTCTTGGACGGGCCGTCGCCTAGGGCAACCTCCTTGACCGGGACCTCGTCGCACGTGACCTCCGCTGCCTTGGGGCGGCCGGGACGGAGGTGCTGAGCCTCTCGTCGCCACCCGCGGGCTTGGACGCCGCGGCGAGGTGGTCCGCGCGCTGCTCCATACAAGCAAGCGCGACTTTGAGGTCGCCATGGACGGTGATGGGGCCACCGGGGCCCGGCATCTTCATCTGGAGATAGGCGTAGTGGACCGCCGCCATGAACTTCACCAACGCGGGCCTCCCTAGGACCGTGTTTTAGGGCAGACTGAGGTCCGCCACATCGAAGTCCACCCGCTCCGTGCGGAAGTTGGCGGAACCACCGAAGGTGACCGGGAGGTCGATATGACCCAGCGGCCAGGTGTGCCCCGGCGTCACACCGATGATCGGCTGGGACGGCCGGAGCACCATCCCCGGGGCCTTGATGGCGTCAAAGGCTGCGGGGGAAAGGATGTTGAGGGCTGCACCCCCGTCTATGAGGACACGCCCCAACTTCACATTGCAAACGGTGGGGGAAACCACCATCGCGATCTGTCCTCCCCGGGCAACGCACGGCGGGTGGTCGGTCTGGTCGAAGGTGAGGGCAACCTCCGACCACCGCGCCCGCCGCGTCGCCTCATGGGTAGGGGCCGCGGCCAGAAGCTCTCGCTTCATGGCCTTGAGGCTCCGGCGAGAAGCGTGAGCGCACGCTCCCCCATCGACGGTGGCGACGGTGGCCTCAGGCTCCTGGAACCCCAGGTCATCGTCGCCATCTTCGATGTCCTCGGCGGTGGCCTTCTGCTTGGCCTCACTTCGCCGGTTGCCGGCGGGAGCCGCCGGGGCCTTGCCCTCACGGCGCTCCTGCCTCTTCTCCTCCTCCCACTTCCTCGTCCGCTCAGCCAAACTTTTGACCGCGCGGCAGTCCGCGAGGTCGTGGAGGGAGGTGTTGTGCACGGTACACCACTTGCCGGTCGGGCGCTCCCTGCTGGGAGCGCCGGCCTCCTTCTTTTTGTCGCTCGCAGGCCTCCCCTTTCGGGGGGCCCGCGAAGCGCCCTCGACGGCGAGGACATGACCCTCGTCGTTGGAACGGGCCGACCTCTTCTTCCTCCTCCTGTCCCGCCGCCCTGACCGTGCGGCGGACCCGGGGGCGGCCAGAGCTGCCACACCAGAACCGGAGGAGTTCCAGGTCCAGGCCTCCTCCTTGCGAACCACACGGTCCGCGAGCTCAAAAAGCTGCGCGGTGGTCTGGGGCTCCTTGGAGGCGATCTTCTCGAGCATGCGGTTGTGCCGCACGCCCCCCCTGAACGCGTAGATCACCGCGTGTGCGGGGATGCACGGTATGGTGTTGCGGACTTGACAGAACCGCTGAATGTACGAGCGAAGAGACTCATCGTCCCTTCGCTGTACCGCATGCAAGTCCGCTTCTTCGCCTGGGCGCGGATATATGCCCTGGAAGTTCGTGGTGAACTGCTGGCACAAATCCTCCCAAGAGTGGACCGACGCGGGTGGCAAGTTCATTAGCCAACCCCGCGCCTGACCCTTCAGGGCCATGGGGAAGAAATTCGCCATGACCCTGTCGTCACCCCCGGCAGCCTCGATCCCGGTCGTGTAGATCTGGAGAAACTCGGCGGGGTTGACGCTTCCGTCGTATTTTTCGGTGATGGTGGGCCGGAACCTTGGGGGCCAACGGACGTTCCGAAGGCTCTCCACAAAGGCTCGACAGCCGGCACCGCCAACCGGGGACACGGGGGGCCGGCCCCCGTGTCCGGACCGAAGTGGCGCTCCGGACGAGGAAGCGCCCTCCGTTGCGTGGGCGGCGCGACGAGCGTCGCGCCGGTGCTCGATATCGAGGCGGGCATCCGGCCCCCCACGCACATCTTCTTGGGTCGGAGGCGTTGACGAGGGAATGGCGGACGAACGGCGGGTAACGGCCGCCGCTCGCCGCGCCCTCCTCCTCGACGACATGGAGCCGGCGGCGGCAGCGCCAGAGGCCTCGGTGGCGGAGGACCGCCCGCCGGCGCCTACCGCCGGCGCCTAGGCGCTGCTGCGCCGTCATGACCAAGTCGGCCACGTCATCCAGCCAACGTCGGGCTGGAGTCTCTGGATCGGGGACGACGGGCGGGTGACGCAGGAGCGCGCCCGCAGCCTGGAGCGCGCCCTGGGGCGTGCCGCCATCGCGGTAGACGAGGCGGCGACGCGCCCCGTCTCGCCGTCCTCCCCCGTCGCCCGCGGGCGGCGAAGTCGCGGATCCTTCGACCTCCCCGAGCGCCTCCCCCCGCCCAAGATTTCGGCGAGAGGGGGACGGTGGGGTGCGAGCCCGACGGCGCGGGTTCCGCTCCCCGTCGTCACCGCTAGCGCTCGGAGAGAGGCTGTGCGCCACTGCCCGTTCGGCCATTGGGCTGAGCGGGAGAAGCTTGGCGCACACGAAAGAGGACGAGGGCTTAGAAAGACACGCGCGCCCCTACCTGGCGCGCCAGATGACGGAGCGTGGGGCTCCTCACCGGGAGACCGCGCAGGCCCCCCTTTGCCGGTTCGGCCGGGGGCGCTAAGTGAGGTTCTTCGCCCTCGATCTGAGGAACGTCAGCGAGAGAGGAAGTGCACAAGACACGGGCGACGTAGACAGGTTCGGGCCGCTGAGAAGCGTAACACCCTACTCCTGTGTTCTGGTGGATCTGTGTGTGAAGGAATACAGAGAGCCGGAGAGCGAGAGAGAGTTCAGGCTCTAGCACCCATTCGCCAGAGTCCCAACTCCTCTTCCTCTTTTTTTCCTCTTTCTCCCCCTTTTTCCTTCCTCCTAGGCCTGGGCCTCCTTTTTATCTGGTCAGGGGTCACCACATGGGCCTCCAGCTGCCTAAGAAAGGAAACATGCTTTTTACAATGAGGGCTAGTCTACAGCCGGAAGTGACCTCTGACAAGCAGAGCCCACGCCTCCTGCCCCGCTCGCCAGCTTTTCCGGTGGACGCCCATTTCAACCTTCATTCAATGGCCAGCGACTTCCTTGCCATGCTTGCGCTGAAGCTTGGAATGGATTTGACCGGGACTGACATACCAACTCCAGGAGTTAGCACGCCGGCTCCGGCTAGGGACGAGAGCCAGGAAGCTCTCATCATTCCGACGGGACGGGGCGAGGCGTGTGACAGGCCGCCTGTTGCCACCTAACCCGCGATCTGACCGGTCTGTGACCGGTCACACACCGCGACCGGTCACGGACCGGCTAAGCGTGCGCTGCGCCGCATTAAATGTGGCGTGGCGCGCTCGTCCAACCCGCTATAAATGCGGTTAGGTGAGCCCCGCTGTGCTCACCTAACCCACACACGTGGCGCCAAAACCACAGGGGGTCGGGGCGCCCCAGCCCTCGGGGCCGAAACGGGGGCGCCCCAGCCCTCGGGGAGACAGAGGGAGGGGTGGCCACGTCACCCTCGGGCCCGACCCCCCCCCCTGAGGGGGTCAGGCTACGTGGGTGACCGCGGCTACCTAAGCCTCTAGTCATGATACCCCCGGCCCCATGTCACCGACAATAGGTTTTAACAATACTAAAACATATAGTTTTGTGATAATGAAGACACTAAACCTATAGTTTTGTGATAAATGAAGATATTAAATATGTAGTTCTGTGAAACAAGTTCTTAAATATGTAGTTATGTGATATATTATGCAAAATACATGTAGTTTTGTGATAAACAAAGACACTAAATCTGTAGTTTTGTGAAACAAGTTCTTAAATATGCAGTTTTGTGATAGATCATGCAAAGTATATGTAGTTTTATAAAATTTACTCTATATTTAACTATTCATTAATTTAAAAATATACTGCCTTCTTTTTTTAAATAAATGTCACTGTTAACTTTTAGTCACACATTTGATCATTCGTCTTATTCAAAAAATTTATGTAATTACATAATTTATGTTGTTGTGACTTGTTTTATCACTCAAAGTACTTTAAGTATGATTTATATTTTATACATTTACATAAAATTTTTAAAAATATAAATGGTAAAAAATGTGATTAAAAGTGAACGGCGTTATCTATTAAAAACAAATGGAGTATATAATTATTATTTATTTTCTTGTGACTTAGTTTATCACTAAAGATATTTACACATAATAATTTCTAAACATGATAAATGAAAATAGAATGCAGAGTCTGCAATACGGGAGAGAGCTCCAATGCCAACAGTAATAGCCTAGCAACGGTGACAGATTTGTCTAGCCTCCGACATATTGTAGCACACGCTACTGTAGCGATGTAATCTGAACCGTTAGATTGTGATCGTGTGGTTGGAAGTTTCTCAGAATGCACACAACGGAACGAAGCAGTCACGCTCGTGCGATGAAGATCGGACGACGCAGCTGCGCTCGAGCCACGTCAAAGGATCTAGCTAGTACTACGAGCCATGCGTAAAAAAAAAAGAAGGAAAAAATAAGGCGTGCGACTAGAGACACACGAAACGCGAGTACGCCGACGCCGCGACGCGTCCTTTCGTTTCGCTCCCCTCCTCCCCCCGATCTCCGCCGCCGCCGCCGCCGCCGCCTTCCGATCTCCGCCTCCCTCCCCTCCGGATCCCCGCGCTCGCCGTCGACGCGCTCCCTCTCCTCCGCCCCTGCGTCTCGGCCCACGGTGAGGTGCCCTCCCTCCTCTCCGCAAGGTCTCTGTGCGGATCCTCCTCTTCTTCCCTCCCGCCCTCGTACGCCGCGCGCTAGGGTTAGTCAGGATTCGGTTTGGGGGGAGAGTTTGCGTGGTTAGCGTAGCAAAACTAGCAATAGGAGATTTACGCAGTGACGCCTCTTAATCCTCGCGTTTCTGTGGGATGTTTTGCTGTTGGGATAAACGAGCAATCGAGATTTGTTCATATTTCGTCAAATAAATTATTATTACTTTTTGAATCTGCTCGTGATGTGCGTTGCGCTTGGGTTATTCGGAGATGAATCATCCTGCTTGTGTAAACAGCTGATAGCATTTTGGGGAATTAAGGTCTGCCTTGCAATGCTCATAAAAAAATACTAATCATGTTGGTTTTTCAGTATTTTTCTAACTCTGGCTAGCATATCAACTCCTGCTACTTTATTTGCTGCACAACATATTAGTTCCTTATAATGTGCTTCTCTGTTTGATGCGTCTGTTGCGTGGCACCGTAGCTGCACATGTGAAAGACACGCCGTTTATATTTTTCATCTACTTGATCTGTACCCCATCTGATCTTAGCTTCTCTATTCCTATCAAATAGGTTACCTGAGGTGAATACATTGGAGTTGGCTGGGATACTTCTGATTTGAGGAGATTATAAATTGGAACAATGCCTCCCCATAAGATAGAGACAGGCCACCAGGATGTTGTGCATGACATTGCCATGGATTACTATGGGAAGCGCATCGCTACAGCCTCTTCTGATAACACAATAAAGATCATTGGTGTAAGTGGCAACTCTCACCAGCAGCTTGCTACTCTGAGTGGACATCAGGGCCCTGTCTGGCAAGTTGCATGGGCTCATCCTAAGTATGGTTCCTTGCTGGCATCCTGCAGCTATGATGGGAGGGTTATCATATGGAAGGAAGGGAGCAAGCCTGATGAATGGGCGCAGGCGCACACTTTCATTGAGCACAAGTCCTCTGTCAATTCCATTGCTTGGGCACCTCATGAGCTTGGGCTGTGCTTGGCTTGTGGCTCATCTGATGGCAACATTTCAGTCTTCACTGCTCGTTCTGATGGTGGGTGGGACACAACACGCATCGATCAGGCTCACCCAGTGGGTGTCACCTCTGTTTCTTGGGCTCCTGCAATGGCGCCGGGTGCTCTAATCAATACAGGGCCTTCCGGTCAGTTTGAATATGTTCAGAAACTTGCCTCTGGTGGTTGTGACAATACAGTCAAGGTATGGAAACTGTACAACGGGAGTTGGAGGATGGATTGCTTTCCGGCTCTTCAGATGCACAGGGACTGGGTGAGAGATGTTGCCTGGGCTCCAAATCTAGGCCTCCCAAAGTCAACAATTGCAAGTGCCTCCCAGGATGGAACGGTTGTAATCTGGACAGCACCGAAAGAAGGCGAGCAGTGGGAAGGCAGGGTTCTCTATGATTTCCAGACACCTGTGTGGAGGTTATCCTGGTCATTGACTGGGAATATTCTGGCAGTGTCTGATGGTAATGATAATGTGACCCTATGGAAAGAAGCCGTCGATGGCGAATGGCAGCAAGTGACCACTGTTGAGGCTTAGGTGTTTTGAGTTGTTCTTCCCCTGGCTGCCAATTATAACATATGTGTAGCCTTCAGGCTGGCCAATGGCTCTCTGCTTACAATGTGGCTCTAGTAATTTTGCTTCTGCTCAGCAATTAGCAAGGCGCAAGTAATTTGCTTGGATAGAGTAGAAAACCCTTTGTGTCGCAACTCTTTCATGTATTATGTGTTCCCTTGTGTGCCTTCTGTTTACCATTATTTATGGCACTTCTGAGTGCAGATTTTTCGCTATCCTGCGACTGTTTAATGCTGCCCGTAAGCGATTATGATATGTCATCATTCTTAGCAACGAAAGCAAGAATCTTTAGATCTTGATTGAGAAGTTTGGTAGCCGAAGTTTTTAATCCCTGTCAGTGTGGTCTGGTAGGTGTTCATCCATTGCAGCTTCGTGCACGGAACATGAAATTAAACGATGCATATAAGAGTGGGAAAAAGCTTGTTTGGAATCTTCCGTTATCAATTTCTTACTTTGCTTCTACGTGAGTCTAAAACAACTTTATTTTGGATAGGACGGACTATTTTTTTTTTCAAAAGAAGTCGATGTATCCGGATAGTGTAATCAAGTCGTAAAATTTTACGAATACAAACATGTGTTTATCCTCTGTTTGACTCATATTTGACCTGTTTATTATTCCATTCGTTCAAAAATATTTGGCGTTGGTTCATCGCAAAAAAGAAAGAAATGGAGGGAGTAGCTTTTGTAATTTCTTTTCTCATCATCATTGTAATAAGAGCAAAATAGGTTTTTACTATTTAAATTCGGCCAAAAAGCGGCCTATTTCCCAGAAAAAGCTGTCCATCAATAGCAGAAGCCCCCAAAAAACTTGAAAGTGTAACTAACACGTTGTGGGACCAAGAGACGATCCCGACCGTCCATCCGGGGAACCGCGCCGATCTCCAGCCGTCGATCGGGCTCCACGACCGTTTCCCTCCTCGCCGCCCGGGCCCCCCCCCCCCCCTCCTCCTTCCGTTCCCCGTTTCCTCCCTTTCCCCTCTCCTCCTCATCCTCCCCGACGACGAGGCAAGCGCGAGCGCGAGGCGAGCCGCGGCGACCTAGGGTTTCGTCGCGCCTTCCTCCTCCCCTCCCCCGCCGCGGCCGTCGCCGGAGACGACAAGGTATGCCCGCACGCGCGCCTCTCTCTCTCTCTCTCCCCTTCGTCCCACTTGCGAGCGATCCCCCACGCGAGCCGCCTCCTGTGGTTGTGGTGTGGGTTGTTGTTGTTTGATCCTGGGTGTATCCTGCTACGTTGCAGTGTTGGGTGGTTGCGGGTGGAGTTCGATGCTCTGGATTTCGCGCGAATCCTAGTATTTTAGAGTTGTTGTTGGTTGGTGATGCTGTGGAGGGGGGATTGGGGTCTCCTCCATGCTTCGTGATTGCTGGTTCTAGATGTTTCCTGTTGTTTTTTCGTGCGTAACGCATCCTTTGCTTAGTGCCTTGGTTGATCGAGTTGCAGTGTGCCTCGGGCTGCCTTGTAGGCCAGACATTGCTATAATTTCTCAGCCTGTCTGTTGAGAAATCTGAAATGAAGGTGTGTAATATGTAGGGGTGTCACCAGGAAGGAAGTGAAATCCTCGTTTTGTTCAAGTTGCATTATATATCTAGGAACCTTATGGTAGCTTTGTGCTGGAGTGCGGGTGTGGAATACATTTGTGCACTTTTTTGCACTGGAGTGCGGATGTGAAATACATTTTTGCACTTGTTCCTTGCAAGTTGCAACTATGTGTGATTAGGCTATTGGTTGAAGTTGGGTGACAGATTTGGAGCTCGAGGCAATAGGATGTTAAAAACTATTTTATTATGGTTGCAGTTACAATTTGCTGTCGTTCTATGCCTACCCTGTTTTTCATTACTATTCATGTCCCTAATTGTTGACCATTTTTATGTAAGATTGCACTGTTAAGAAAAAAAAATGTATATGGACTGTGGTGTCATCTTTACTAAGTACTAATAGTACTGAACTGTTGCCTACAGCTTTTTTAAACTGTACATAGCTAAAATGTTTTATGTTCCCAATTCCAAGGTTTAGTTTTCTGGATGGCAAGTTATTTTTGATTGAAGTATGAGATCAGTTTTTGGTTGTTGGAATACTTTATCTAGGACCTGATCACTTTGGACATAGTATTGTGGAAAACTTTTATATGGTGATCTGCAACTTTTGTGCGTTAACTTATACGGAAACCAAACTACTATGTGACAGAAGAAGCAGACAGAGAGATATCTCAGCTAGTTATTTCTTATTAGATAGTAGTAATACTTTTTTTTTGCACTGCCTCTTCGGTTGAGTAATCCTCATAGTAGGCATGCTGTGTGGAATAAGTTAATTTCTCAGCAAAGTTTGGCAGACATGAAAATGCAGTTTATGATCTGATGAATCTTCACTATTTGTACACATTTTACCAAGAGTTCCTTGCACATGTAACAGGTCTGCTGGAGTGCCAATAATGGAGCGGTCTTCTCGGTTGAATCCAAACGCCACTCCCTTTGTGCCTCCCCCCAGGCCTTCATTTGAAGAAAGCTTGAGCAAAAGAAAGGCCTCTGAGAAGCAAGTAGGTGATACTGAAAAGGATGAGAATGCTGACAAGTCTGCTGAATATGAGCTCCCAGATTCCCTTTCTTTGGATGACTATGCTGAAAGCCTAGGAAAGCTCAACATTTCTGCAGAATCTTCATCAAAAGGAGAAGCTACAAACAGTGCGTTTGATCCATCACAGTATGAGCAAAATGGTGTTGATAATCATCTTGCTGTGGTAGAATCTCTCTCAAAGATGTTCCCAGATGTGTCTGCCGACTTCATTGTTGAAGCACTGAAGGCCCATGAATTTGATACAGAACTCACAATCGATATGCTTGCTGATCTGGTATGTGAAATTACTACTTCTATTCTCTGCCTACGATATTTCAAGCTATTATTGTTGTTTGCACACCTTACCTTGAAACTGCATGCTAACTAACATTTTTGTTGTTGAAATCATCTCTGACAATCTCTCTCGTTGAATTTTCTACTTCAGTGTGAAGGTGATGATTATGGGCATCCTGCTGAAGTGTCAGCGAAGTAGCAGCAGCAACGGCGTCGCTCTTCATCTACCTTGGCAGAACAATTACCCTTCAGCTACATGTTATTGAAGTCATTCTTCTTGACAATCAAGACTGAATTTGGTGGTGTACAACTTATTGCTGCTGTAAAGAACTCAGCCTTGTTTAGGAGCCAAAGCAACAAAGACCGTGTTTTGGGTTTTTAGTTCCTGGTGGAACAGCTATTCTCAGTACTTTGAGTCTGCATCATGTTGATGATTTCACCCAGCAGTTTATCGCGTGATCTGTTGCAACCCTTTTGGTGTAGCTGTACCTCTCCTAGCTAAGTGTTCAGGAGCCAGCAATCGCGTGCAGTTTTGCTGCAAGGCTGTGCTCCTACCATGTACATTCTGGTCTTGCTGCATTCTGTGTAGGGAGATGAACCATTCCTCTTATTCTGTTATGATGCATTGTTTGAACAGATATCTCGTTCCAGTTATTGAATGGAGATTTGGAGGCTATGATAGTCTTGGTTATGACTTAATGAAGCCTCACTATAAATAATCTTATATATATATTTTTTACTTACTAGTTACTACCTTCATCCCATGATTTTGTCTCGGCACACTAACCGGTATCTCTAGCTATTTCTTCAAGCCGTAGTGGTCAAAATTGCATTTCAAGACCGTGCAGATATCAAAAACATTTCTCTCATGACTTGGATTGAATGGTATTAGTATTTGGGACCACTTTTAGAAGGCACCATCCTAATGGCAATGCTAATCCCACACGTCCAGAGCATTATGTGTGTGCTTGCTTAAGGTGTTCTCTTGAGGAAATGTTCACATCTCCCTTTTGTAATTTCTCCAAGAAAAATACAAAAAAAAAACGGCTTTCATTTGTGTGTTCTGTTGGAAAACAACAAAAAAAAGGCACACACCCATTGCATTTCCTTGTGTCACTGGGGAATCCTCACGAATAAGAAATCATTTTTTCCCCTCTTCTCCAAACTGGCACCCGCTCGACCGTCGGATGAAGCGTCCCAACCACACTCCACCGTCCGATCCACCCCTCGTGTTCCGGGGGGGGGGGGGGGGGGGGTTTAACCGCACAAAGCCAGAAGAAAAAAGGGAAAACCTGTGGCCGCGAGCGCAAGAGCACAAGAGTGCACGAAGACGAGACGAGAGCGAGCTGTTCATCCTCCCACTCCACCTCGGAGCTGAGCTCTGCTTCTCTCCCGATCTCTCCACCCACCGCAGCAGCATCCTTTCGACCTCTCTAGGGTTCCAGCCTCGAGTTGGCCTCGTCCCCCCCCCCCCCCCCCCACATTCGCTGCGAGGTTGCTGCTCGCTTCACTTGTCTTCGGTTTGATTTCCCCCCACCTAACTGATTCTGATTGATACGGCTCGGCTCGTGTGTGCGGCTCACTTAGGTTTGGGATTCTCTTCCGGATTGGATTGGTGGAGTGGCAGGGAATTGTTAGTTCTGGTGTGGTTTGTGGTTAAGAGAAGGGGTGAGGTTCTTGCTGCCGTGTATCTGTACTGATTCCTTTTGCATAGTTGTTTTTTTTTCTTTTCGTGTATACTGTTATCTGCTACTGTATGAGAGACTTATGTTTTGGCTAATGTTCTCGATTGGAAGCTATGAAAATGTAATTTTGATCTATCTTATTTCCTATTTTTGTTCAGGGAAATAGCTATGGAGTGTCTGACCACAAGTTTTACTAGGTAAGTTATTCTCTTGATTGTGCAATATTATTATTCAGATATAGAATACTCCAACATGAACAGCATGTATGTATGATCTATTGATATTGTCCGTAATCTGATTTTAGCTTGGTAAGTTAGTTAATCCCCGTACGACTTTCAGAATTCCCCATGCCCTGTTGAAACCACATCCAGAATGCATAGTTCTTCTTTTACCCCCCTTTTATCATTACTTTAACATGGTTAGGTGATGTTTTTGGTGAAGGAATCCGGGAAGGGAGTATAATCTCATATGTCCGAGCGAAGCTCTGTCTGAAAAACAAAGGATTCAAAGAAGGGTTCTATGCTATTTTCCAGCTTCCACAAACTCAAGACGATGTCGCAAGTTCACAACTATGGCATATCCTGTTAGCCCAATAGCTGGCAGACGTTCAAATTGGAGATCTTTTGCTGCAAGTCTGAATTTGGAAGATGGTCCTGCATCCTCTGACTCAACATCATCCCCTTCAGAGCAAACTAGTGATGGTGGTGAAGTTTATGGTGACCCTTCTGAAAATCTGAATTCTCGGAAACTTAAATCTGACGAGGTATCATATCATCCAATTGTGTATTGTTTCACCCATGCAGTTTTTTTTCTTTGCCAGGACGGCGGAAGGACACGCCGTCCGAAATTCATTAGATTTTAAAAGGAGTACAGTACAAATAGCTTGGCAAACCCGTGCAGCTTATCACTCTGCATTCCTGTACCATATGTCACTCAAAGATTAGCAGAGCCAGCATTTCAATTCCTCCAATGAGTTCACTATAAATGATCTCTACTTTCAAGGCATACCTCACGTTATTATACTTTCCTGCATAAATCTTTCAGTCCATTTTTAGGAGTTATTGTTTGTATTTGTCAAATATTAGGTCAACAGGGGGTTTTTAATGTAGCATCTGCGTAAGAGAAATATGTATCTGTATGATATCTATGTGGTCTTATTCCCTAGCAGCTAAGACAGCTTAAGGAGATATTCTCCTTAACCCTTATAATCATAAGTATTAGAGAGTGACCTCCTTCAGAAATGAACTCAACAGAGAAATGGCAAACTTGATTGTAGCTCTAACAGTTGATGTTTCGGTTCGTAGATCGCACTTGAAAGATTGATACTTCCAAAGTACAAAGAACAACGTTGCAACTTGGTCTTTTTTTTTTCTTTTCGATTAGCAACCTACAGACACTAGCATTATTTTATATATGACTAATGTTGTGCTTCTCTTTTTATTTTGGCATGCAGTTGAAATCTCTTTTGGCTGATTCAGAACGATCTAAGCTTTTGAAAAAGCTTAGTGAAGCAAACCAATACAACCGGTTCCTCAAGAGACAGGTTCTATTATTGTACCTTTTTCCAAAGTGTTCATTGAATTGCATCATATATACTGTTCACAATTATCAGCAAATAACATAATACAGAATTGTTCATACTGAATAGCTTTCTATTATCTGCGACTTGAACTTTATGCTTTCTACTGAAGATAGCGCCTAGACGTTTTGTAAAATGAAAAACAATTACTCTGTCCAGGCACTGTATTTGCTGTCATGATGCAAGTCAGCAAGAACTAGCAATTTTGTTCAGTCAGGATCGAATAGAATATAGAACTCCCCTTTTACTTGTAGATTACTGTTGTTGATTCACTTTATGCTACGCACTATATCGCCAGAAAAATTACATTTTTTTTATAAAAAATCTATAATGCATTTTGTAGTACAAATGTATTTAAATATTCCTAACGAATCCAGGACTTTGAACTACTGAAAGTATCTTAGGATATTTTTCTTTAAAAAATCATTCATGAACTAGTTTGCTAAATTGAAGCTTCTTTTGCATCAGATGAATATTTTTGTGAGATTACATTTTTTTTGTATAAATAGCTGTCCATACAGAGTTGTGGTTATGTCAAATATGCACAATTCCATTTCTCTTATTAAGCACTGAATCATTGCTAACTAGATAGAAATGTACTATTTCTTGCAGTTGCAAATGAAGGATAATGACGTTGTGAAGTTCAAGAGTGAACTTGCCGTTATGGAACTTGAACTGCAGGTTAGCTCTAACAGACTTTTCTTGTTTCATAGTTCAATCATAAGCCCTTTGGGGACAGGGGATGCTATCAACATGCCTTTAACTCATCTAGCATCTTGAGAATTCATTCATAACTTCATGTTTCCTTTTCCATAAAGATATCAGACTGTAAATACATGAATGAAGTATGTCTGGCTTCCTCTAAAGGATTGTATGATTTTGTATGCCTCTGTACTTTGTCTCCCCTAGGACTGGCTTTAAATCAATATATTTTGTTTCTTGGTTTTGTTCAAACTTTTATCAGTGATCAGTATTGTTGATACTGTTACTCTAAATGTATTTACATTTTGTATGTATTCACTGTTTCTTTATGTCCACAGGCTCTGGTTGCCCTAGCTGAAGAGATTGCTAATTTTGATGTTCCATCTGGGTCTAGGAAGATAAATGGAAAATATATCCAGTCACATCTTCTCACCAGATTAGAAGGTTATCTCTATCACAATGCTCCAAGTTGAATTAACAATGAAATTTTCTGACGAAATGTTTGTTTCCTATAGCTGTTCATGATAAGGTTATGGAACAAATTAAGGATGTAGACTCTTTAAAGCACCAAGAAATTTCTGTCTTCTGGGTTGGCATTGCTGAGGTAAAACAAGGTTTTTGACTTAACTCGTTATATGGAACAGAACTATTGTCATATATCTACAGCTATCATTTATGTCCTCTATTGTTCTTCATTGGTTTTTTGTCTGCACATCAGAATGTACAAATTATGGGCTCCTTCGATGGCTGGTCCCAGGGAGAGGCAATGTCCATGGAGTATTCAGGTTACCAAGCAAGATTCTCTGCAACTCTGAATCTTAGACCTGGGAGGTGTGTTTTGTGAATTCTGCAGAGCGATCTGATTTGCTATGATTTATTTATTAACTAAACAATCTCACTTATCTGTTTGTATGCAAAATAAAGGTATGAGATCAAATTCTTGGTTGATGGAGAGTGGAGGCTGTCACTGGAGTACCCAATTGATGGCGAAGGTTCAATGCAGAACAATATACTTGTTGTAAATTAATGTAGATATCTGTTGGCTCCTAGTTTGCCATAGTTGTAACTTGCAGCTATAAAACCTAGCGCAAGATTGAACTGTACTCGATTGCTATCATGCATCCGATTTGCAAAATTTCACTTTACCATGAAATGCAAGGCCTTTTTTTCCTGGTTGGATGTACATTTAGCTCAGTTACTTTCACATTCTAAATTGATATACTGAAGTCCAGGGACTACATTGATAGACAGGCACTCCCACTGGGTTGCACACCATCAGGCTCAGAAAAGGATCCTTGGGCTGTGGAAATTCTGCCAAAGTACCAATTATGAAATATTCCTACAGAATGTATAATTGAATTGGATCTTTCATGCTGCTGCAAGAGTATACCATTTTCTGATTCGTCGCCGCTTGAAAATCGAGGCAGCCTTGTAAGTCAGTGCCACTGCACATCAGCACATTTTCGCTCTTCAGTATTGTCTATATTTTCACTGAGCATATAGAAAAGCAAGTTCCATAATGATATCAAACATGCATCAAATTCTGTACTTATTTGCTAATGTAGCTGTCATCCTAGCAAAAAGATCTGAAGCAATTTGTGCCTTTCTCTTTCCGGTTATTATTCAAGATGAAACAATGTTCATGGTATATTGACACTCTCTAAGGCATGTTCCTTTTTACAGTGATTTTTGACAGGTCTGAACTTTCTTGTATGTGTATCAGTAGTAAAAACTTGAGAAATCTGTTTGATGTTCCTGCTACTGGTTTCACACTTTCAGCTACATTTTTTACAACTAATCTGAGCTAGCGCAGGAACTCCCGATGTTATCAGCTACCTCCTGGACCATCAGCCTGACGACCACCGGAGCCGCCGCTCCGGAGCCTGACCTCGCCGTCACCGACATCGACGGCAATGCCGGGACGACGTCGAGGCACTCCTGGAAGTCGGCGTCGCAGGACAGAAGCACCCACTCGTGGTCGTCGTCCAGGTACTTGACGTCGAAGGCGCCGGCGTCCAGGCTCAGCCGCTTGGCCACCACCGCCTTCACCGCCGCGACGCCGGCTGAGCACGGCACCCTGAACCTGATGATGTCACCTCTGTGGCTGGCCTTGATGGTGACCACGCCGTCGCCATTGCCGCACCTCGGAGGTTTTCGCAATGCAGTTTTGGCGTGAGATGGCGGCGCCTGGCATGATCCATGGGAGGAGGTCTCTCCTACGGTACTTGACAGGCATGGCCGCGGTGGCGGCGGCGGCGGAGGGAGAAGAAGAGCTGGGTGAGCAGGCATGGCCACCGGCGGCGACGGCGAGCAGTTCACGGATTCCATGACGCGCTTCATCTTGTCGAGGGAGCGGTTCACCTTGCTGATCTTGCGAAATGGCCACCTTGGGATGCCATGCTGCCTGCAGATGCGTTTCATTGTTGTTGGGCATACTGCAAAACAAGAGGATAAAACTGTCACCTGGTGATCCAACTTTCAGTGGTTGCGTGTTAATTTGCGCATAAACATCAGGATTTTGATGAAGATAATCCACTGAATATCCAGCTGATTCATTTAACTCATCAATTATCATGATGATTATATGCAGGTTGTTGGCAAGTGTGATGTTGTCTTACCACCGAGGCTTCTTGCAGCATCCTTCAAGCTACCAGAGAAGTGTTTCTGCAGCTCCTCCAAAGTGACAGATTTCTCAGCTTTTCCTCTTTTCGTCTTGTTCTTGCCAACTTGTGATGTAGGATCCTCATTTCTGATTTGATCTGCATTGTGAATGTTAAGCTCACCAATGTTTGTGTTCTCCAGCAGCTGCAGATCCTCCTCGTCCGAGCATCTTTGATCATCTCCAAGATCATCCATTTCATGCCTTAGTTGGTGATCACCATCTGCCATAGTATCCAAGAACAAATCATCCAAGTTGCTGATCACAATGGCTTTCAGGTTGCCGGAGCATTGCTTGATCGTGGCGGAGACGGCGTCCACCGCCGCCTTCTGCTCCGCGACGCCGGTGCAGTCCGGCGGGAGGAAGAGCTCCAGCACGACGCAGTCCTCTTCGTCGCCGGCGGTGGCGGCGGCGGCGTCCGCCATGGCCGCCGCGCTGAGCTCAGCGCGTAGCACGAGGCATCCGGCGAGGCCGTACATGCCAGCGTAGTGCGCGAGAGGGTAGTCGTCCTTGGAGCACCGCGCGACGTCGGCGCAGAGGCGGCCGCCGCCCGGCGCGCGCGCCGCGGTGCCGACGAGCCCCTGGCCACGCTGCAGGTGGTGCTCGACGCAGGCGTCGCGGAAGCCCCGCGCGTCCGCGCCGGCGGCGAGGTGGAACGGCGCGCCGGCGGTCGTCAGCGCGGCCTTCTCCGTGTCCTCGCCGCCGCCGCCGCAGCTCCAGCATCTCACCCATGTCTGTGCCAATGGCAGCTTGTGAGCTTCGCACACCGTGATCAGGAGCTCCGATACCTCGGCCATGGCCGCCCGGGTCGCATCTCGATGGACTATCTGGTTCACGGCAAGCGAGTAACACTGGATCAGTAGATGAACGGATCATGCAATTTCTCGTGAAATTTCATGTGATCTCAACTCTCACCTCGGCTGCACGGTTGCAAATCCCTGCACCTCTCAGTGACACTGCCTGCATATGAACACAAGAAATGTTAATCACTTCACTAATCTAATCACTCCTGCTAATCATTTCTTGATCGAGACAGAGAGATTACCCGAAGAGCGTTGCAGAGGTTGGCGACCTCGCCGGAGACGCGGAGCAGCGGGGCGGTGGTGACGAGCTCGAGCACGGCGAGGGGGGAGCTCGCGTCGTCGGGGTCAAGGATGGGGAGGGCGAGGCTGCCCTGGATGTCGTAGATGAGCGCGTAGCTAATGCGGGCGTACTCGCCGCTGCCGTAGCACTGCACGTTGGGCGTCCACTCCGGCGCCGTCGCGTCGAACGCCCTGGCAGGAAGCCCCTGCTCGTCGGCGGCGGCGGCGCCGCCGACGGGGAAGACGCGCGTGAGGGAGACGGTCCTGTACTGGAACAGGCGGTGGCACTGCGACGCCAGGACGAACGGCTGCCCCCGCGTGGCGAGCACGCGCCGGGCGCCGTCCCTCGCCGGCGCCCACACCTGGACCATCCACCCGCCGCCGCCGTCGCCCGCCGCCTCCTTGTACAGCCGCAGCGCCCGCGCGATCCGCTGCTTCACCGCGACGGCCGCCGCCTCCTCCGTCCCCGGCGATCCCCCTCCCCCTCCCTCGCTCCCACCTGCGCACGCACGCATACAAACAAACACCTTCATCTCATGGACCATCTCGACGCGTTCTTGCAGATCAAGAAGCTCAAATCAAGCGCATCGGCGTGGCGCCTACACGGACGTTCACCGGCGGCGCCGCCGCGTTGGAGGAGGAGGTTGAAGTCGCCAACAACGCGCTCCATGTCGGCCTCCACCTCAACCACCAAGACCGATCCACCACGCAGACCAACCAAACAAAGAAGAAGACGATGCGAATATGCGACCCGAATCGATGGCAGCTACCGCTCCATCTCCATCTCCATCTGCATGGCGCGACCAATGTCGAGCCGCAGCTTCCCAAATCTCGCTTCTCTGGTCAACGTCTGTAGCCACCTTGTTTAATCGCGGCCCGGGGGGGGGGGGGGGAGTGGAATATTATGTCCTGGGTTAGGATGTGCGGGAGGAGATTAGATCTGGGAGGGGTTAATTAATCGGAGGGGGAGTGATTACACAAAATTATCATCGTGTCCCACTGCCGCTTTGGACTTGCCATTGCCATCTTGGATATGGGAGAAGAAAACATAAACAATGTTACTACTAGTGTAGTAGTAGTAGGCGACTCGTAGTAATCCTCTTTGATTGATTTTAAAGAAAAACAACAATCGTGAAAAACGGACCGAAAAGAGCCGAAAATGGGAAACGGAACTATCAACGAAAATGTGTAAAATTTAAGTAAGAAGAAACAACGAGCTATAACAATATTATGCTTCACACGCTAAATACATGTATATATATAACTTTATAGTTTATTCCATCCGTCTAAGCAACCTTATTTTTAGTTTGTCTTAGACATATATTAGTACCTGAAAAAGCTTCCGTGCATTGCAACGGATATTCGGAAGAAACTAAATATTTAGCTACTTCAAAAATTCAGGATGTTTTGTCCTAATTGTCCCTCCGTGGCCCTTTGTAAGTCGCCTCTATATTTGAAATTCGTTGCAAACCAATTTCTTCGACTTCCGCTGACATGGCAGATTGACTATGACTCGCCGAGTCAATTGGTGGGACCCATGTGTCAACGACTTTCTCTTCATTTCATCTTCCTCCTCACCCCTCTCAATCTCTCTTTCCTCTCTTCCCACAAGCGTGTCATGGAGGAGATCCGGGATTCCAAATCGAGTCCGCCGTCGTCAACCGCTCAACGCTTCTCGACGCCAGCCTCCCCGGAGGTCCGAGGAGGCCCACGGGCAGGAGAGCACAGTAATGGCGTGTTGACGACGCTACCACCATGAGCGCCATCGTACGAAGCAGCAACGTGGAGGTGTCATCGGCCGAGTTGCCGATGAGGAAGGAGGATGATTGCAATGGCCGCATCAATGGCAATTGGAGCAACAACTCTTGGAAGAATGTCACACCCTGCCTTGGCATCACATAATAGTGACACCAGAGAGGGTACGACGCAGAAAATCCACATGAACCGAATCCCACAAAACCTCGCTGCTGGTACCAGTCCAAAGATACAATTGCTTGTACCTGCAACCAACAGAGATTCATCATAGCAATTAAACATACTATAGATAGATTGTACCTTTAAGAGGTCACACCTTCGGGGTAACTCCTGGAGTGTAACCGGCAAGCAGAAAAGCAACAACGAAACCTAACATAGCTAGACCCAATCCACATGCAATGGCCTGGGACTAATAAGGAAACTCTATTCTTCAACTTCACTTCACTCTTCCTGTAGAGGAAAAACAACGATTGAGTACATACGTACTTAGCAAGTCACGGAAATGTGGGGTTGCAGGATGCAAAGGAGGGCTAGGATTGTTTTGTAAACTTTTAGAATACATTTTTCAAAACACTAAGTGTCGGAAAGAAGCTTTTGCCTCAATCCTATCTGCAAATTGCTTGCAACAACTCAAGCGGGCAAAGGAACTTTTTAGTTGATTAAAACTATTCTACCAGTTGCCCTACCATGAAACCGGTGCATGATCTTCTGCCATCAAGCAACTTCCAACTCATTTCCCAAATATTAGTTTCTTTTCACTTTCAAACCATCGGGCATCAACGCATCTCATAACACATTTCTTTGGCTCCAAGAGCCATACACACAACTTCCACTCGAGAAACGTAATCTATGATGCCATTAGACATCTTGATCTACACAATATTGTTTTAGACCACGTAACGGTCACCCATCAACCCACCTAGCTGAATTTAGTAACGGTTTTCATTCCCACAAATTATTTTTGCAAATCACATGCAAACAAATCTACACAAGAGGAATCACTTCGCATCCGCCCTTGACCATGGGCACGGTTGTTCGAACAGTTTCATAACCTCTGCAAATGGGTACACTTTACCCACACGACGTGAGCTTACTCCAATCGCCCAACGCGTATTGATTAGATACAATCGGTGAAGCAAGGTTCACGACAAGACATTTCCAAAGCCAACCGAAGATACCTCATGCCACATAGAAGGGTTCTCTCTGAACCGAGCATCAGGCAAGCCTCAGCCCTCGTCTACCCATGAATTCGGAATGTCTTCAACCATTCGTGCCTAGCATGTTAATGTTCAATGTGTGCCCAACGCAATAAACTATCTCACATCTCCTCATTTGTTGCGCCCGGAAAAATTGCCTTTTCCCAAACGCTAGTGTATTAATCCTCGTCCCAGGAAAAGCCGGGGTACACCACACAAACATGATACAAAAGACACATCTTTATTATATCGATAATATTTACATTATTACAAAGGCACTTAAGGCCTAACAAACAAAAATAAACAGCAGTGGACTAGCGGGCCTACGACTCCATCTTCACAGGCGCTCAACTGGGGTATAAGCCAGGACTCCACCTAAAACTTCTTCTCCAAAGCCTCTCTTACAGACGGGGGAAAGATAGAGCAAGAATGAGTACAACCATAGTACTCAGCAAGCCACACCGGGAGATGCATGATTAATGCAAGGGGGTACAAGGGGTAATAATAGGGGTTAGGTTTTACAGTAAACAGCATTTAAAAGTCACTTAGTTGCCCAAAGCTATTTTGTAAACATGATCCTAGAGCTACACAATGTTATTAATCAAGGCCGTGAACCCACACGAACCTGCCTTAACCCAAGGCCTACGATGATTCAGACCGAACTGGCAACCCGACCTGGGTCCCAGCTCGTCCCAAGCCAACCCAGGCCAATCATTCCACATTTTAGTTGTTAAGCAAGTTTTAAAAATTAAACCACTAACTTGGGTACATTGCTAGGCTTGCCCTAAACAAGGGCGCGGCTATTCAAATAGATTATACTATGAACAGAGGTGTACATCTTTACCCACAAGACACATCTTTACTCCGCATTCCAAAGCCTTGGAACCCGTCGTAAACATGTGACATAACCATTCACCCATCCTAGCCGTGAACAAAAGTACCGACCCAACCTCGCCTACGTCCGGAATCCTGGGACAGGTAGGCAGGATTGAGCCCCTAGCAGCAGAACACCGGCCCTATGCCATAACATCTCGACTACCGAGCCGCAGCTTGTGTAACCTTCATTTGCCCTAGAGATGTCCATCGGGCCCCGATTTCGTCCATCTCCATCCGTTTCCTTCTGTTTAGGATTAGATTGAGCACCGAGTTAAGCCTTACCCATTAGATATGTGGTTAGTACGGTAGTGCTTTGCAACAGAGGCCCGAAGACCGGTCCTTATGGTGGCCGAGGTGCTCCTAGCAAAACCACGCACCTCGAGCCTAGCCTAAAACCATTTTGGGAGTTTTGAATAGAGGGGGAAGGTGTGTGTTTAATTCCATCACACGCAAACCATTCCATAATGTCCAATTGATATGAGAACTTCCAAAGTCTAAAGTTATAAACCATCTAGTGTTGCCTAATTAATCAGCGAAGCATCTACCTAAATTCATACTAGTGGAACTATTAATAGAGCACCCACTAGCTGGGAATTTGTTTTCCTAGGGTAAGCAAGGTGATAATAAACAATATCAATGATAAGGCTATAACAAGGATTAATAGGTATTGCTAAATAAAACAGTGATAACGTGGGAATTTAAATAAAGCGATAATGCAATAATTTAAATCAAAATAGTTTTATAAACTAGGATTCAATATGCTCAAGGGTGATGCGACTTGCCTTGCTCAGAGAGAACGGCCTTCCGAACCTTCGGCGATGACCGCGAACCATGCTTCGGAAACCTCCGAAACGACAGAAGCTACGCGAAATACACAAGCAAAGCTACAACCCTATAAAAAAGCAATAACAATACATAAAAAGAAAGCACATGGTTCGTTAGGTTATAACAAACATTAAGAGACTTGAACGGGTCAATTCGGAGTTCGTATGACCAAGGCATGGTCATCGAAGTTTAATGCTGTTATATGGAGATTTGCGGATTATTATAATTAAGCTTTGCAACTATAAAGCATGTGTAAGCGCTACCCTGGAAAAGACGGGAAGGCTGCGCTGTTGACAGGCGGACCCCACATGTCAACCTAAGGGACCACGGTGGACCGAGTACATAGAGACGGTCCACGGGTCGACGAAAGCGGACCCCGTGTGTCAACCGAGGCGAGTGGCCGCAAACGGACTCCACTAGACACCACGCGGGCTACACACGTAGAAACCATGCGGCTACCGAGCGGGCACATTAACACGGACACCACACGCACACACGAACGACTACCGACACCGGTACACGGGTACCGGGGTCGACAACCGCACAATGGGCACAGGGCGATACCGAAAGGACGAGGAGGGACCCTTACCATCACGCGACAAGGCGTGGAATGACGACGACGAACGGGCGCGGCGGAGATGGCTCGGGGACGACGGAGGCGAACAGCGAGGGGACGACTTCGGCGGCGATTCTTGGACGAAGGCGAGACGCGGCCGGCGCAGGGCTTGACGACGCGGAGCCGAGGACGAAGACGACGAGGAGGCTACAGCACACTTGACGAAACGCGGGCGGCAAACGCAAACGGCTTGACGGAGGGACGAACGCCACGACGATCGGGAACGACGAGAGGACGACGACGACCAGGGCCAGTAAGGAGGCGACGATGGCAGCCGACAGCAGTTGCATAGAGGTGAGGACGGCGTGGAACACGCCGCTACAATGCCGACGACGGAGGTGGCGCCGCGGGACGACGAGCCGGCGAGGATGAACGGCCGACCGGAAGAGTACATCGACGAGAACGAACGATGAAGACGACGACGGTGACACCGGCGGGGTTCGGGAGGAGGGGAGGCGAGACCGAGGGCGACCTTGCCGCTGCGATGCCAAGGGAGGAGACGACGATGTCGGCCGGTGCACGGGCACGGCGGAAGGGGCTGCCGGAGGAGACGTTGACGAGGAGGAAGGAGAGGCTGGTGCGGCGGCGGCGGTCTCTGGACGAATCCGAGGGCAG